ATCAAAGTGCCCGAGAACGTTCGTGGCCCTAAGTAAGGGTTCTGGGGGCCCTCAAGAAACAATTCTGTGTCCCTGAGTAACAATTCTGTGGCCCCCAAGTCTGTCCCTGAGTAACAATTATGTGGCCCTAAGTAACGTTATGTGGCCCTCAGTAACAATTCTGTGTCCCTGAGTAACGTTTCTGTGGCCCTAAGTAACGGTTCTGTGGCCCTCAGTAACAATTCTGTGTCCCTGAGTAACAATTCTGTGTCTGTCCGAGTAACAATTCTGTGGCCCTAAGTAACAGTTCTGTGGCCCTCAGTAACAATTCTGTGTCCCTGAGTAACAATTCTGTGGCCCTAAGTAACGGTTCTGTGGCCCTCAGTAACAATTCTGTGTCCCTGAGTAACAATTCTGTGGCCCTAAGTAACGGTTTCTGTGGCCCTCAGTAACAATTCTGTGTCCCTCAGTAACAATTCTGTGTCTGTCCTGAGTAACATTATGTGGCCCTAAGTAACGGTTCTGTGGCCCTCAGTAAATTCTGTGTCCTGATTATTCTGTGTCCCTGAGTAACGTTTCTGTGGCCCTAAGTAACGGTTCTGTGGCCCTCAGTAACAATTCTGTGTCCCTGAGTAACAATTCTGTGTCCCCTGAGTAACAATTCTGTGTCTGCCCTAAGTAACAATTCTGTGGCCCTAAGTAACAATTCTGTGGCCCTCAGTAACAATTCTGTGTCCCTGAGTAACGTTTCTGTGGCCCTAAGTAACAATTCTGTGGCCCTCAGTAACAATTCTGTGTCTGTCCCTGAGTAACAATTCTGTGGCCCTAACTAACGTTTCTGTGGCCCTAAGTAACAGTTTCTGTGGCCCTCAGTAACAATTCTGTGTCCCTGAGTAACGTTTCTGTGGCCCTAAGTAACAATTCTGTGGCCCTCAGTAACAATTCTGTGTCTGTCCCTGAGTAACAATTCTGTGGCCCTAACTAACGTTTCTGTGGCCCTAAGTAACAGTTCTGTGGCCCTCAGTAACAATTCTGTGTCTGTCCCTGAGTAACAATTCTGTGGCCCTAACTAACGTTTCTGTGGCCCTAAGTAACAGTTCTGTGGCCCTCAGTAAACAATTCTGTGTCTGTCCCTGAGTAACAATTCTGTGGCCCTAACTAACGTTTCTGTGGCCCTAAGTAACAATTCTCTGGCACTCAGTAACAATTCTGTCTGTCCCTGAGTAACAATTCTGTGGCCCTAATAACGTTTCTGTGGCCCTAAGTAACAGTTCTGTGGCCCTCAGTAACAATTCTGTGTCTGTCCCTGAGTAACAATTCTGTGGCCCTAACTAACGTTTCTGTGGCCCTAAGTAACAATTCTCTGGCACTCAGTAACAATTCTGTCTGTCCCTGAGTAACAATTCTGTGGCCCTAACTAGCGTTTCTTTGGCCCTAAGTAACGATTCTGTGGCCCTCATTAACAATTCTGTGTCCCTGAGTAATGCTTCTCTGTCCCTAAGTAACGTTTCTCTGTCCCCAAGTAACGTTTCTGTGGCCCTAACTCTGTCCCTAATACAGAGCGGTCTGCCTCTCTTGAATGACTGGAGGCAAATGAAGAATTCTAAAATGGCCGCTATTTATAGCTCGACCATTACACAGTGCTGGCTGGCTGGCTGCTGATTGGCTAATGCGATCACATGTCATTAAGGAATGCATTATGGGTCAGCGCGCCTTGTCTGCGCGCCTTCCCAGACATCCCCGCTCCGTCGCCGCACATGTCCGCCGCCATTTTAGGAAAAATTTTGATTCGCGCGCCGTCCGAAGTAGGCTTATTTTTCGGATTCGGCGCGAATCGAAAATTTTCCAATATTCGACTCGAATTCCACTTCGCCTACTTCGATTCGCTCATCTCTAATCATAAGATATCCAACCCAGAATGCGCCACATGCGCCGCAGTGCTGCAGTACAGTCTGTCACTGAATGTGTCCACCATGACATGATATATCATTGTACTGGTATCCCTAACCAATCATAGTAGATCACATGACAACTGCAAACAATAAATGGCTTTGATTCATGCCATTCATTGTGTACAATTGTGTTGTCAGTTGTGATACGTCACAGTGATCACAGGGTACAGACAGGGCCGATAAAAGCCTATCTGTACCATGTGATTAGCTGTGGCCAATCATAGCTAATCACAATACAAGAAGGAAGCAAGAAGGTGCTTCTAAGTGCAGTAAGATCAGGGTTTTTATTGTAAATAACGGTAAAAAACACTTACAAGATATGTAGTGATAACAGGCTCATCATAAACATGTGGTGCAGGGCTCCTGTCACTGATACTGTGTACCTAAGTCCACTATGCCAGCCAGCAGCTGCAGGGAGATCTCTGGGTATTGTAGCAAGAGGACCGCCGCTCCTCCGGAGCTTTTTAGAACACATGCCATCTGCGTGGAGTGGAAGGATTAGAAGTGACATCAAAATGGGCGGTGACGCATTTCAGAGCATGTGTGGAACACTCCTTCATCAAGACCAAACCCTGAAGCGGAGGAGCCATGTAAATAGGGGAAGGGGTGGAGGGGCAGACGGGTTACTGATTGAACACTAGGGGATACAAACCACTTTACGTAAAGTGAATCCAGATGGCAACATCATGACCCCTGGTGGATTCTCTGACCCATAACAGGATAAGTGTTATGTAACTAAGCAGTAGGAATGAGGAGTGAAAATGAACATATAACACAAGGGGGTAAACACAATAAATGTATCTATATACCACATGCGTACACCTATAAATATGTATACATATAGAATGCCAAGAGATAATTATAAGAATAAAAAATAATAACAATAAAAAGAATAAGATCAATAATAATAAAAAAAAATGAAATAAAATACTGTCTAAAAGAAATTAACAATATCAGACAGAGTCTATTCACATGAAAAGAAAAACAAGTTATGACATCACTGAGACATAGTACTCTTTGTACCTGACTTACTCACTTGTAGATGATAGGTATGGAAAATACACCAACCATCCACTGTGGTACTGACCAAAATAAAAAGGGGCTAGTGGCACCTGAAAAGGAGGGAATAGGAATAAAGAATTAATATGTCATAATGCTACCAGCAAAACAATCTATATTGTGGTGCTAATCTAGGGTCGCAGGTGTAAATCCAATGTTTTCCTCTGGCATAAGCATTGGAATCTTTCAGCCACTGAGAGGTCAGCAGATATATCTTCAATGACCAAAACTCTTTGTCCTTCAGTGGATTTACCATGGTGTTCTAGGAAGTGTCTGGGGACACTGTGCTTGTCCTTACTGTCCTCAATGAGGCGGCGATGTTCCCCAAAATGCTTCCATAGTGTACGGATGGTTCTACCTATGTAATCAAAACCACATGGGCACGCCAGACAGTACACTTCAAACTCTGATGAACAAGTGTAAAATTCTTGGATTTTGTGTTTTCCCTTTAATTGTAAAATCTTTTTGACCCTGTCTGACAAATTTGCAAATCAAACAAAGTGTTGTAAGGCACTAGTATGTGCCTGTGATGGAGAGGAACTTAAGGGAAGCAGACCTGTTTCTGATATTTCAATTTACTAGGTGCTAATCTACTTTTAATGTTACATGCGTTTTGCTAGGAGAAACTGGGTTTGTCCGATAAGGAGTGTCTTAGATGGGGATCCTGTAATAATATCAGCCAGTGTTTTTGCATTACCTGTTCCATGTGTGTGTGACGGATATGAAATGAGTTATGAATCTAATAGTGGATGACCCCTCAGCAGGGGGTAGTGTGAGTACTACAATGTTCAGTTGTATATTGTGATTGAGCTTATTCAATGAATGATGGTGGATATCCTTTTTCAAGAAACTTGTCTCTCGGGGTTATACTTTTACTATTAGATTCATAACTCAATTTCATAATCGTTTTTACCGTTATTTACAATAAAGCCCTGATCTTACTGCACTTAGAAGCGCCTTCTTGCTTCCTTCTTCTCCTACACCAGAGTCTGCTTCAACTCACAGAAGTGCTGCTCCAGTGCCCTCTCCAGTCCTTCCTGCATACCAGCTGATATTTCCAATCATAGAAAGATCATTGAAGCAGATGCTCCCTATGAATCCTTTCCTTAATCACAATACACGCTGAATAAATCAATTTTATGCACGAAAAAGGTTGCTTATACCAGTACAATTCACTGGTGTAAGCAATCATAATGTGTTAAAAAAAAAAAAATCCTGATCACTTCCCCAGAGTAGTACAATGTTACTATGGTAACATTATATTGCTCTAGTAAGATCATGTTAAAAAAAATTAAAAAATAATAAAAATGTTTTTAAAAAATGAAAAAAAAATATTATTATATCATTATATCACCAGCATGCCAGTTATATGATGATGCTGTAGTCCAGGGGCGGACTGACCATTTGGAAACTCGGGCACTGCCCGAGGGCCCGGGGTCAGTAGGGGGCCCCATGAGATGCCCCTGGTACCTTTTTCATAGGCTTTTTTGAGTTTGGGCAGGACACAGGGGCCCCATGATCCCCTATTGCCCAGGGGCCCCATGAGTTGTCAGTCCACCCCTGTGCAGTATTGAAAAAAAAATATTTCCTACAGACTAAAAATAAACACTTATTTGGGTTATTTTCACCAAAAAATATAGCAGAATATATTTTGACCTAAATGTATGAAGAAAGATTATTTAATTGCAAAATTTTATAACATAAACAAAGAAAAACACAAATTTTTTTTACTAAAAAATAAAAAAAAAACTGTGGTGATTAAATACCAGCAAAAGAAAGGTTTATTTATGTACAAAAAAAATTATAAAAAATGTCATATGGGTACAGTGTTGCACGACAGCACTGAAAGTTGAAAATTAGCTTGGGCAGGAAGGGGGTGAAATTGCCCAGTATTGAAGTGCTCAATAGTCCTGCTTTGTAGCCAGTTCATTTGGGTGTGGACATGCAAAGCTCAAGACTAGTTTCCATAGCCTTTGTCAGCTGTGCTATAACTAAGAAACAAAGAAGCATAAGCCTGTGTGAGGGCCGAGGTTACTCGCAAGAGGATGCACAGGTTTTCCATGCACCCCCCTGGAGGCAGTCCAGTTTATGTACATTGAGATGGACATAGCCACGGCTCCCAATCTGACATCAATGCAGGTGTAGGTGCACCGGCACCTGTCCATCCCCTTGTGAGTAAACACAGCCTTTTCACAGGTGTATACTGTAGTGTGCCATCCCATATTTTAAACAACATATATACTTATCCTATTAGATTTAATTATGCAATCATTGTACATAATCCCCAAAAAGAATACTTTGATATACACTGCTCAAAAAAATTAAAGTAAGAATGCCCCATCGTTTGATGGAAATTAAAATTTTCAACCTACAGAGGACTGAATTCAAAGACACCCTGAAAATCAAAGTGAAAAAATTATGCAGCAGGCTAGTACATTTTGCTGAAATTTCATTGCAGCAACTCAAAATGGTACTCAGTAGTTTGTATGGCCCCCACGTGCTTGTATGCATGCCTGACAACATCGGGGCATGCTCCTAATGAGACAATGGTTGGTGTCCTGGGGTATTTTCTCCCACATCTGGACCAGGGCCTCACTGAGCTCCTGGACAGTCTGAGGTGTAACCTGGCGGTGTTGGATGGACCAAAACATGATATCCCAGAAGTGTTCTGTTGAATTTAAGTCAGGTGAGCGTGGGGGCCATTCAATGATATCAATTCCTTCAACCTCCAGGAACTGCCTGCATACTCTTGCCACATGAGGCTAGGCATTGTCATGCACAGGAAGAACCCAAGACCCACTGCACCAGTGTAGGGTCTGACAATAGGTCCAAGGATTTCAACCCGATACCTAATGGCAGTCAGGGTGCCATTGTCTAGCCTGTAGAGGTCTGTGCGTCCCTCCATGTATATGCCTCCCCAGACCATCACTGACCCACCACCAAAACATTCATGCTTAACGATGTTACAGGCAGCAGCATAACATTCTCCATGGCTTCTCCAGACCCTTTCACGTCTGTCACAGATGCTCAGGGTGAACCTGCTCTCATCTGTGAAAAGCACAGGGTGCCGGTTGCAGACCTGCCAATTCTGGTGTTCAATGGCAAATGGCAATCGAACTCTATGGTGCTGGGCAGTGAGCACAGGGCCCATTAGAGGACATTGGGCCCTCAGGCCACCCTCATGAAGTCTGTGTCTGATTGTTTGATCACAGACAGACATTCACAGTAGTGGCCTGCTGGAGGTCATTTTGTAGGGCTCTGGCAGTGCTCATCCTGTTCCTCCTTGCACAAAGGAGCAGATACCGGTCCTGCTGATGGGTTAAGGAACTGCTATGGTCCTGTCCAGCTCTCTAAGAGTAACTGCCTGTCTCCTGGAATCTCCTCTTTGCTCTTGAGACTGTGTTGGGAGACACAGCAAACCTTCTGGCAATGGTACATATTGATGTGCCATCCTGGAGGACTTGGACTGCCTGTGCAACTTCTGTAGGGTCCAGGTATCACCTTGTGCTACCAGTAGTGACACTGACCCTAGCAGAATGCAAATTTAGTGAAAAACAGTCAGAAAAGATGAGTAGGGAAAAAAAACGTCAGTGGCCTTCACCTGTAAAACCATTCCTGTTTTGGGGGTCATCTCATTGTTGCCCATCTAGTGCACCTGTTGTTAATTTTATTAACATCAAAGCAGCTGAAATTGATTAACAACCCCCTCTGCTAGTTAACTGACCAGATCAATATCCCAGGAGTTTAATTGACGTGATGCTATACTCTGATTAAAAAGTGTTCCTTTAATTTCTTTTGAGCAGTGTATATTATCCAACACATATATATTGGTACCAAAATGTAACAATTTGATCCAGCAGAGTAGTGGTAGATTATATACAAAGCTAGTCCCAATGCATTTTGCATGGGCAGGGCTTCCTCAGGGGAACCATGAGGGTCATGTTCTATGAATCCACATCAATGAGATTTAGGCCCATCCAAAAATGCTTGCCAAAGCACTTCAAAATTGAATGTCTATCCATATAAGGGGAACAACGCAATATAAACCAGTGTTTTGTGGAAAGCAGCCCTACAGAGCCTAAAAGAGCACATATGCCAGTGCTGTCAATAGAGTTTCCAGTCCCAAAGGATACCACTACATCAAACAAGTACAGGGTCCAAAATTTCAAATGGACTGCTTGTACTTCCTGAAACTTTAAGCCTTTCTTCCCTAAAAAGCTGGCTGTAACATGGCATGGTCCAAGCGGTTTGCTCCCTTACACAGAGAAGTCACAGCTGCTGGATTATGTGGCAAGACTAGATTAAAAAAGGTACACAGATCTTTTTTTTTAATGGTATGCAGGACAGGTAGGAGGAGGGGGAGGGGACATTTTTAAATAGTCATAATTACTTAATAACACTTTAAAGTCATATTACACATCTGATGAATTTAACAAATATAGTATTTTCTGTCTGATTTAATAATAAGACATTATCACTTATAATTGTATAGTTAATGTTTTGCTGTGACAGTTAACACTAATTGACATTTTAAGTGATTGTTATGTTTCTGAGGTTATAATTAAATTATATTTTAGTTTATTTTAGTTAACAAGCAATTTACAGTTCTTCAAATATATAATTATATTCTGACTTTTATGCCATTATGCAACAAACATGGTCATTAAAACCATGCTGGGCATCAATGGTGCCACTACAATTCATAAAAACTCACAGGGATTACACTTATAAATGGTATTATTAGACACTGGGAAACTATTTGAGACAGACTAATATTTAAAAAAAATCTGTCTTTCTAAGGATTTAGATATGCATGCCAATCTTCAATAGATACAGTATTCCGGCCTCCAAAAGATATGCAACATGTTTTTGTAATTGTTTTTTATTTGATTCTCCCACACATTCTTATTGGTGATAGGGAATAGTCAAGCTGCAACAATAGCTAGAAATATTGGAGCTTTGCCCAAGCAAAATGGCCAAGCACTTGAGTAGAGTTATGGAAAGATGTTCTAGGAGCTTAAACTTTACATATCACTTAAGGTGTCACTAAAGGCAAAAAATTCACAAAAGTTCAAAAACATCAAAACAAAAACCTACCAGTGTCCTGGTACCAACTATACAGTCCTAGCTAACAGTTTGCACAAGTCTAATTATTGTCAGCTCCAGAATTCATAGCTTTTCTAATTAATACAAATCTTAGTGCTAGAAGATACCTCCTGTCTCCTCCCCAAACTAAAGAGCACTGACTATATGTCTCAAAGAGTGTAATAAAAGACCTTTGCAGGCTCCCTGCAAGATATATATATATATATATATACAGTGAGGAACAGAAGTATTTGAACACTCAGCAATTTTGCAAGTTCTCCCACTTAGAAATCATGGAGGGGTCTGAAATTCACTTTGTAGGTGTATTCCCACTCTGAGAGACAAAATTAAAAAAAAAATGCAGGAAATCACATTGTATGATTTTTAAAGAATTTATTTGTCTTGCACTGCTGAACATAAGTATTTGAACACCTGAGAAAATCAGTGTTAATATTTGGTAAGAAGCCTTTGTTTGCAATTACAGAGGTCAAATGTTTCCTGTAGTTCTTGACCAGGTTTGCACACACTGCAACAGGGATTTTGTCCCACTCCTCCACACAGATCTCCTCTAGATCTGTCAGGTTTCAGGGCTGTCACTGAGCAACACGGAGTTTCAGCTCCCTCCAAAGATGTTCTATTGGATTTAGGTCTGTAGACTGGCTAGGCCACTCCAGAACCTTGATATGCTTCTTACGGAGCCACTCCTTGGTTATCCTGGCTGTGTGCTTCGGGTCGTTGTCATGTTGGAAGACCCAGCCACGACCAATCTTCAATGCTCTGACTGAGGGAAGGAGGTTGTTGCTCAAAATCTCACAATAAATGGCCCCATTCATCCTCTCCTTAATACAGTGCAGTTGTCCTGTCCCCTTCGCAGAAAAGTACTACCCCAAAGCATGATGTTACCACCCCCATGGTTCACAGTAGGGGTGGTGTTCTTGGGATGCAACTCATCCTTCTTTTTCCTCCAAACACGATGAGTGAAGTTTAGACCAAAAAGTTCTACTTTGGTCTCATCTGACCACATGACTTTTTCCCATGCCTCCTCTGGATCATCCAGATGGTCATATATATATATATATATATTTATATTTTTTATATACATGTGGCTTTTTCTATGTGTGGCTATTTTGGAATATTTAACCAATATTGCTGGTGGTATTGTGTCTACCACTATTGGACTTTAGACTTTTTTCCCCCTATAGTATTACTGTAATCCTGAGAAAAATAGGTATTTAGCCCCCTAAAGAATCCACTGTAACCCAAAAGGGGAAAATTTTAATAAGAAAGTATTGGAATGCAAAGCAAAATTAATTTCACAAACTGGAAGCTAATGAATTTCCCTGTTTTAACAAAAAACTTACCTTTAAGTTTTTTTGTAACTTTTGTAATAGTTATTGTTACAGTATTGACAAATTTTTCTGTGTTTCATTTTGTTTTATATTTTTGATTTTT